AGAAAGAGCAAAAAGAACCAAAATAAAAATAACAATAAATATAAAATAAAAATGAAAAAAATGAAAAAAAATAAAAAAAAATTAAGAATAAAAGGAAACTAAATCTAACAAAATCTAATCTATCTAATCAAAATCTAACAAAATATAATATAATCTAACAATATCTAAGAAAATCTTAAAAGAATCAAAAGATTAGGAATGATTGAAAATAAAATCTAGTCTAATCTAATCAAAATACTAACAAAATCTAATCTACTGTTAATATTCACTAATTAGAATAAAAATATATATATAGAAACAAAAACAGAAAAAGAAAAATCAAAATGAAAATTGAAGAATTTTTTATTTTTTTTTAGAAACAGAAACGAAAATTAAAGAAGAAGAAGATGATCAAGAATCAGCAAACGATTTAGACCGATGCAATTTCCCCGGCAACGGCGCCAAATTTGACACGAGCTGTCGAACTCGCGCAAATTAAAAATTATTTTTTAATTAGGCTTCAGAAAATTTGCAGTAGAGTGGAAACCCTAAGTCGTCTCTCAAGGAAATTGTTTGGGTAAAAATCGTTTATCAAAACAGAAATTAAAGGGGGGGTTTTTGAATTTTGGTTGAATAATTAAAAAGGCAGAATACGAAATTGGATTTAAAATTCGTAATTAAAAATAACCAACATAAGGTTTGTGTTCCATGGACGTCTTTCCTCGGATAAGAAGATATCAGAATTGTGATTGATTTGTCAATCGAATCAGAATCTTTATTTCCAATTGACAACCCTTCTAAGCGATCGCTTAGCATTTGATCAAAGACGATGCTTCTACTCATACAATCGCAGAGTATCAGCCCGCTTGATTTAAGGTCATAGGGTTAATCAACCTAATCATCAAATCTGATAATTAATCCCTTTCCATAATCGTAATCGCGAACCTCAGATTGAATATCCACGATCGCATGATATCAATCTGAGTTTGGAAGAGAAACGAAACTGATTTAAAATAAACGCAGACCCTCAAGACTAATCCATGGAATCTGTTACCCTTAGGTTGATTAAAAGGTTCTTAGCCTCACATAGCTAAGGTAAACATGATTAAAATAAAAAGAAGAAGAAGAAAAAAATGAAGAACGCGAAGAACGCTTCAGAGAAAATACTTTGATCCTCAATTTCGAAAACTACAAAATGCCTAAAAGTTTCCTACTTTGCCGTCATATACCCCTACCCAAATCGGGTTAAGGTTCAGTTCTGATCGGCCCATCTGTCTAAAATACGAAATAAAATAAATAAAATAAAATAAAACTTGGCTTTGGACCACTGATGTAATTGGGTTTTAATTTAAATTACAAGTCTAAAACTTCAGCAAAACATGTCCGACTTGGCGTAAGATTTCGACCATCTTCCCGTTCGAATTGGGCTTCAGTAGCTGAAATAGAGATTGTAGACCTATCTGTTAGCTGCAAAACTCAACAAGAAAGGAGTCAATCGGACATCTGTAGAGTGAGATATGGTCAAAATACAAAAGTAGTGTAAATCTGAAAAATTATGACGAAAATCAATTAAACCCAATTAAAATCTAGAATTGTGATTTGACCCAAAAGACATTTATTTAATTCAAATAAATCATAAAAATATCAACCAAGAGTAATAAATAAGTGTAACAAAATATGAGTTATCAGTAGACTGATTCGGCGGCGGTTGGGGTTGAGTGTTGCTAGATGTCGCACGAGTGTTTGTCATCGTGGAATGGGAATCTTAATTTATCGTTCCCATAGACGGCGCCAATGTAAGGTCCTAGAAGGCCTTATTGCTATACCGTATGGTATGCGCTCAGAGATACCCTAGAGATAGGTATCTAGATTGGCTTATAGCCAACACTCCAATCACTGCGCACAAGCAATAGGCTTATAGCCAAGACGTGGGGTTGTGTGTTGGCAGCAATAGTAAAGTATGTCAAAAAATGTGTACCTGGGGTCTTCAACCTCTTATTTATATGGGTTACCTATGGTTTGTTTAGATCTCCCAGTTGTAGTAGAATTCAACTTCTTTTCTGTTGGGATATGGGCTCTATCCTGAGCAGCCTTACTGTTTTATATTATTAGGATAATTGGGTAATTATCCTTTAATAGATTCTTGGGTAGGTAGTTAGGATATGGTATTTATCCATAACATTACAAAAAAAAAAAACAGAATAATATTTCTGCCGTTACTGTAGATAAGTTATATGCATTTACTCCCAAAACGACGTCGTTTTAAAATTGAAAATTAAATAATTATAATTATAAAGACTATAATAACCTGAAATAAATTAAAATTACAAAAATGTCATGATTTTCGCTCCAAAACGACGTCGTGTTAGGCTTACTGCAAATAACTTATCTTCAGTAACTGCAAAAAAAGCGAACCCAAAAAAATAAAATAACATAGATCAAGCACAACCCACTTTCTTCAACATGATGGAATAATAAGTCTTGAATTTAGAATTTTGTTATATGATTTTTGGGCTATGATTGAGGAAAGACCCAAGTAGGTATATATGGTAAAGTTGGGGAATCATTGGATCGGTTTGGATGTGATCGATTTTCACCAACAATTTCAAAAACCAATCCAATCCAATAAAATTTTGCGGATTTTTTTTCGATTTTTGGTTTTTTTGATTTTTGATTTTTTGGTTCGATCACCGCTGTTTGAATTAGTTTGGATTGGTTGATGAACATCCCTAGTGTCATGTCCCGAAATAATTCATTGGGTTTGGTTCAATTTCTGTGTAAAAATAAATGCCGCTGACACTGAGGGAAAGTGCATTTTTCGTATTAAATTTCTCTTGGATTGTTTTTAACCGATTGAGAATTTCAGTCAGTGCACATTAATATTGAAATATTCGAAAAACTGCACTCGAATAAAAGTTGTTATTGCATTCATTTATATATTCTAAATGATAATTTAATTTAAAAATTGGACAATGAAAACTTCATTGAATTTATCTCTTTTGCAACTATCTTGTTCTAAAATATTATTACCGGAAATTCTCATCATTATTAAAAGAAAAGGCAAAACAAAGCTTACGTAATAGCGGTGACAATTTTCAACACTATCTATTAACACAACATAAAAAATTCATGTTTGGATGAACCCATTTTCAAATTCATATCATATTCGTATTGGTAAAAATTGATACTTGTGTTGTGTTGTGTTGCATGTCAATCCACAAATACTAAATAGACATATATTAATTTTCTTATAGATTATTCATTACATGATATTGGTGAAAGCAACATTTAACATACAAGTTATTTGTAATTTTATGGTGTCATGTCAACCCGCATAACAAGTTATACACTTTGAGATTTGCAGGTTATTTGTGTTTTATGATGTCATGTCAACCCGCATCACAAATGATACACTTTGAAATTTACAAATTATTCATATCATGTCATGTCATCCCATAAAATAATCAGATAATTTTGTGCTAAATATATTAATATTCATATAAAATTTGTGTCATATCGTATCAACCTAAATTGCCAACCCTATTTCCTAGTAAGAAACAATAGATTTAAAAAACATAGCCTATATGAAACGTCATATTCAAAGGCGGATCTAGGTTGAAGAGAAGGGGGACAAGTGTCCACCCTTAAAATATGATGCAAAAATACAAAAATACCCTTATCTTAAAATTTAAGTTTTCCCAATTTAATTTTGGGGTAGGATATTATAACAACCAATTAAGGTTACTACCAATATTACTACCAATCAATTCTATCGTTAGATCGATTATGTTGATCTAACAGTTATATTTATTTTCATCTTTGTATGGTTATGATTCTCCATATTTAATACTTTATATTTATTTTCACCTTTGTATGGTTATGTAAATATGGGGATCATAACCATACAAAGATAGAAATAAATATAACCGTTAGATCAACATATTCGATATAACGGTGAAATTAATTGGTAGTAACCCTAATTGGTTGTTACGATATCTTACCCCTTTAATTCTCCTTATTCTCTTTTATTTTCCCGTGAGTTTTTTTTCTCTTCCATCTTCATTGTCCAAACCTAACACCAGAGAGCTCTATTCGACACCCATCGTTTGCATCTACATACTGATTCAGCTCCTCTCACACCTCAATCTCTGTTATTGGAAGTTGAAACATTTGTTTCTTCCTCCATTATCGGTCTAGTTGAGTCGCAATCCGTCTAGATATATATCTAAACCAGTCCCAGCCGTCTAGTTGAGTCGCAACCTGTCTAGATATATATCTAAACCAGTCCCAGCCAGCCGACAGCTACTCGCAAATCATGTTTCAGACCAGACCTTATTGAGTGCCCACCCTTCATTAATTTCCTGGATCCGCCACTGGTCATATTTGTCTCGAGTGGTTGGAAATTTTAACACCGGGTTTCACTCTTGGATTTCTTGGTTCCAATCGTACATAAACACATAAAACACTTCTAGTGAAATTATACAAAAGAGAGAAGAAAAATTGGTGTCCTCTAATCATCTGAATTCCATCACGTGAAAGAAGAGGAAACACAACAAAGACATAATCATTAAATGTGGTTACACAAACAAAGCAAAATTTCCATTTTGGGTAATTTCCACTTCATAAGGACAAGCAAAGGTAGCTGCCAACAAATAGAAGCCACGTGAAAATACACATTTGAGTTACTGTGGCATTCATTGATTTTCCATACGCAGGTACGTAACTAATGAGAGCTACAACCTACAGAAAAGTTTTGGGCATGTGTAACTCATTTCACACATGCCCGTTCATTCATGTTTCTTTTATTTATTTATTTTATTTTTTTTTGTTCCTAGCCCCTTTTTTTTTTCTTTCTCCCAACACCTATATATAAGACCCTTGAATCTATGTCTAGTGCATTAATCAACTTCCTGTCTTTTTTTTCTCTGTGTCCTCCTTGCTCGATTCGATTTATTTTTATTTTTTTTTGTCCATTACACATTGAGTGAAAAGGGTGGCATTGATCGAGTTAAAAATTGTCATTATTATGAAGCGAAACTGTTATTTGGTTCTTCGTTTTCATCCCTCATCTGGTTACTCACCACGCCATAATTCAAAGTAAGCAAATTTGGATTTTTTTTTTTTAATATTATTTGTCTTGTTATGATTTCGGTTATTTTCTCTGGAAACAAACGGAATTTTTCTTGCATTTGTAGGAATGAGCTATTGAGCATAAACAAGCAAGTTGTTGCCGTTCTTCACAATAAACGCCACATGTTTGACATTACAGAACTGCAGGTAACATGCATAGTAGTAAATTCTATCTTTGACAATTTCTTCTTCATTTTTTTGTAATAAAACTTTGACAATTTCTAAATCGGGATTTGATAATATATATTTCTTTATCCAAAAAAATAAAATGTATAATTATATATTTCTTCCTTATTTGTTGCATGGAATAGTAGTGTGTGGCAAAGAACTTCTGGACCAATGTTTAATTACATGCTTGACAACAATAATACTTGTAAGATTAGTGTATAAAAGTACCCTTAATCATAGTAATTTTTCTCTAATAATGGTACTTCTATTCAGAATAAAACATATAAATTTAATATATATTTTTTCAAAATAAAATGAAAAATTCTGAAAGAAAAGGGAATAAAGTCAATATGGTTGAAATTATATGCAGGCTAGAGTGATCATATGGTTGGCAAGTCAAGAAATGGAAGAAAAAGATGCTAGCATGGGACCAGCTCCAACACCATCGCTTTTATTACAACCTAAAGCACTATTAGTGCATGCACCGAATGGCATTTCCATAAAGAGATCCCTTCGGAATTTCCTTCAGAGGAGAAAGAAGAGGTCTCAAAGTCACATCGCCATTGCAACTCATAGTAGCACAAATTAGTCAAAATATGAATCAGATTATATATACCCTTCGCGGGACCAACGAAAGTCTATATATGTATGAGTATTTTGTCTTAATACACATTTTTCTATGGCCTAGTGACAAGGTACATTTTTATAAATGAAGGACTAGTCGTCTAGTCCACTACAACACCTTCTAGCTAGTCACATTGCCATATTGCAACTTACGCTAGCACAAATTAGTCAAAAATATGAATCAATTTACACCCTTTGCGGGACCAATGACAATTTATATATGAGTATTTTTTTTATTTTATTTTTGGGTAAGTTATGTGTATTTTCTCTTAATACACATTTTTCTATGGCCTAGTTGGTAAGTCATATTCTTATAAATGAAGGACTCTTGCAGTTCATTATAACACCTTCTTACCTAAGCAATTAGTTCAGATTTGCATTCATTAGCAAAATGTGGACCGGTCACATTTAATACGACATTAATGAAAAGGGGAAAATTGAACAAGTGGCATGAGTTAAGAGCTAAGGCATGTGGGTGATTGACAATTTGTGGTCAAAAATGCACGACACGCGAAAGAAGTAATAAGAAAACGTGAAATTCACAAGACTCTATTTGTATTCACTACCTTCTATAAATAGATATATTTCGTTCATTTTGAAATCAGATAGAAAAAAGAAAAGAGGCAAGAAAGATGAAAGCGTTAGAGAAATTAAATGAATAAATATCCCAAGAATTGTGGGTGTGGAAAATGCGTTGAGGAAATTGTGTATAATCTTTAGTATTCTTTCCCACTATTTCACTCACCACAGCCATTTGACAAGTAGCTAGGGCTAGTGATGTTTTGAAAATTTGATACTTTTAATGGGAATGCAAAAGAGAGTATACCGCTTTGGGAGAAAACACCCTTTACATTATGGGTTGGTCTCGTAAGGCAAATAACATCACTATTATCCATGAGATGTGCGGTGATAATATCAAAATTGTCGTGGGCTTAACTTGATGGAATGACTTTAATGTAATGCGGTTTTACTGCACAAATTATCAATCAGAATTTGATAAAACATGAATGCGATTATTAAAGTATATGTGCAATTTATAATTGAAAAAGTTCATAAGAATGAAACTTCAAGAATATTATATAGCTCGGATAGCTTGAAGAACTATATATTGAGTCTAAACTACGAGTTACGAGCTATGGAAGCAAGGGAAAATGTCATTGGTAACTCTTTCTTGTTTATTATGGGTGAGAAGTGTGATGTTTGAAACCTTTTTGTAACGTTACCAGGACCTCTTAATTATAGACGGGAACATAACCATGTTAGGTAATAGAGTATCATACAACTAAAACGGAGATAAGAGAACAAGAATTTCATAATAATGTTAACCATACCAATTTATCATGTAAGTGCAAGTGAAAGTCTTGGTGCAATTAAAATGATGACTAATTAAATAACCACTAAATTTAACGTTATACCTTTTAATCATTTTCCTATACATCAACGATGTACTTAATTTTATTTTAATTTCACTGGTCATGAGATTAACAAATACGCCAATTGAAGTGACACTCAAGATTTACATGGAAAAATTAATTGGGAAAAAACCACAAACAAGATCAAAGAAGATTTTCACTATGTGAAAAAAATTACAACTTCTCTAAGTATAATGAGAAAACAATATCACTTTCTCTTATATTAGACGAATATGCATCACTCAAAATAAGACTTAAGAGACACTTAATTTCTGTCTCTAAATTGTGGGATTTGGGATGCTTGTAATAGTGAGCAATGGTTTCAATTTATATGAAGAGGAATTACTCAATTCTATGTGCAATCCATTTTTTTGCATAGCAACTAGTGCTATTTGCACAATTGCTTTCCAAAGCTCACTAGAAGTTGCGTTACTTTCACTTACATCAATCTCTCATTGAATGTCACTTTTGGGGACCTATCAAATTATTTCTTTTCTTGCCAATTCCATACTGCTTATGTTTCTAATAGACCATAGGAGGATCAATACTATATAAGTTTATCATCATTTATTGGTTTTATGATAACACTTGCTAGGTTTTATTTGGTATGAATCTTCTACATATCCACACTCCCTTCCTCTACTAATTCTCTGACAAAGTGAAACTAAACTCCTATATGCTTTGTCCTTAAATGGAAGGCTGGATTCCTTGCAATGTGCAAGGCACTCTAACTGTCACAATACACAGTCATTTTTTGTTGTTTGTGCCCAAGTTCTTCCATTAGTTTATAAATCCAAATTGCTTCTGTGCATGCTTAGTAACTGCCACATATTCAACTTTTGTAGTATATAAAGCTACGACGGTCTGTAATTTGGATAACCAGCTTACAGGTCCTCCTGCAAGTGTAAACATATAACTCGTATTAGATTTTCTTTTATCGATATCACCTACAAAGTTTGAATAACATATCCTCTGACAATAAAGTATAATCCTCCATAACATAATACAACATATAAGGTTCCTTTTATGTATCTTAGGATCCTCTTAACAACATTCCAATGCTCTTTACTAGGATTTGTCATGAAATGATTAACCATACCAACAACTTGAGCAATATTTAGTCTCATACAAATCATTTTATATAGCAGGCTTCCCACAGCTGATGCATACGGTACCTGAGACATTTTCATCACCTCTGCTTCATTGCTAGGATACAGAATTGATGATAATTTGTAATTGATAAGAAGTGGGGTATAAATTGGCTTACAATCTTGCATGTTAAAGTGCCACAAGATTTTCTTCAAATAATTCTTTCGTGAAAGCCAAATCTTCCTATCTTTTATGTCTCAATAAATTTGCATCCCTAAAATCTTGTTTACAACCCCAAGTCCTTTATATCTAACTCCCTAACTAGTTGTGCCTTCAATTCTTGGATATGATCTTTGTTGGGGCCTACCACCAATAACTTATCCATATAAAATAGAAGAATAATGTAAACATTATCACCAAACCTCTTATGATATGTACAATGGTATGAACTGAGTCTATTGTATCTGAGACAAACTATGAAGGAATCAAATCTCTTGTACCAACATTTTGGCGCTTGCTTTAGATCGTACAAAGTTTTGGTCAACCTACCAAATGATGGTAGATCAGTTGGCGCATGGGAGCTGAGCAGGTGGGGGGTGAGAGTATGTGTTCAATCTTCCCCAGTACCATCTTTGGGAGGGGTTTAAAGCCTTAATCCTGGATCCGCCCCATAATTGCCCCCTGTGGAGGATACCTGTGGTTTATCCAAAAAAAAAAAGTTTTGGTTAACCTGCAATCATTTTTTCTTTTCCTTTTTCTTCAAAACCTTCTAGTTGGAGTATATATATCTCTTCTTCAATTTCTCAATGAAGAAAAATATTTTTTACATCTAATTGCACAAGATGTAAACTGTATATAGCACACATAGCGAGAACGACTCTAACAGTGGTAAATATTTAAATTTGGAGAGAATATCTCTTTGAAATCAATACCTTCCTTTTGAGCATATCCTTTAACCACCAGCCTTGTAGAATCTTATAGACTCATTTGTTAACAATGGCTTTTTGATCTTTTAGAAGAGCAACAAGCTCCCATGTCTTATTTCTATATAAGGATTCCATTTCTTTTTACATTGCTTCCATCCACAAAGAAGCATCTAGATTACTTATGGCTTCGTGAAAAGTTGATGGTTATCCTTTTTTTGAAAGAAGATAGTATGCATCATGACTTGACATAACAAAGTCTAAGTCTAATTATGGTACTCTTGTTTGGCATATTGATCGTCGAACTTCATATCATCAACCTTATTTAGTTCTTGTTCTTCGTTCTCTAGTTTAGCTTCACATGAATGATCTTCTCCATTATTTTCATCTACCTCAATAGTAGTAATTTCCTTAGAAGTGATTTCATTTTTTTGTTCTCTTTGCAGTTCATTTTCTACAAATAAAATATCTCTGTTGACTACAACCTTGTGGGCAGTGGGATCCCACAGGTGATATCCCTTAACACCGTCAGCATAGCCCAATAATTTACATTTCCTAGATTTCGGATCTAGCTTGGTTTTTTCTTAGGCTTTGCACATCATATATGTAGGACATTCAAACACATGTACGAAGAATAATTTGGTAATTTACCATGCCACATCTCCATTAGAATATTTAACCCAATTGTTGTTGATGCAACCGATTTATCATGTAACAAGTGGTCTTGACTTCTTCTGCCTAGAAAAACTTGGCTAAACATGCAGTTCTCAATATAGCTCTTGTTCTTTCAAGAAGAGTTTTTTTCATCCACTCCGCTATATTATTTTCTTTAAGGGTATGCGTAGTTGTGAATAGCCTTTTAATACCCCTTTCTTGCAAAATGAAAAAATTCACCATCTGTATATTCTCAAGATGAAAAGGAAAGAGATTTAAGATCTCAAGACCTAAAGCTATAACTTTTGTGTAATATGTTTTTGGCTAAAATTGCTAGAATCACTTGGAACTTCCATTCTCTTTCTCTCCTATGTATGTTCGGCCATGGTGATAAGAAAAGAAGGAGAAAGTGGTGTGGGACTCTAAGGAAAGAAAGGTGATCTGTTTATGTAGAGAAATATCTCTAAGTTACTTAACTTTACAACTTTCCAACTTTACACACAAGTTTAATTCCTATTGGTTTCTTTTTCTACACACTCACCTTGTCATCATCTTATACAACATTCTAGAATTCTTCCAAGTCACTTAGCTACCTCACATGAAAGAAAAAACAAAGCTTGCTTACTTGGACAATCAATAGCTTTTGAATATTCAAACTTAGCATTTATTGGTCCATTTGTTCAAGACTAGTCAAACTTAATTCTAATTGGTTGGCCTTCACTTAACCTTGACCTTCTTGAATATAAATCATTCAAGGTTACAAATAACTCACTCATGCATAAAAAATTATGCAAAGAATTCACAAAGTTAAGTTATGTTACTAACTTGACAACTTTGTATCCATCTTTGACTTAAATCAATTTCCATTGGTTTACAATTTTCCTTACCTTGACTCAATTTTAGAAATTAATCTAAACATTGTTTGATCATAATAAGATCACTTTTAACCTATGAAATTAATTCACATTGTTTGACTCAATTTCCTTACTTTCTTTCTCTATCTCCGACTTTTTTTTTGGGGGGGGGGGTGGGGGTTTACTTGTATTTTGATTTTCGTGGCCAGACTTGTTCAATTTTTTGTGAGAACTAAGAGTTTTTTTTTTGGAGGGGGGGACAACTCGAGATGTGGGTTGAGGGTATCGTTTTGTACCATTCAAAATAGTTTTTTGGCCTAAAATGATGATATTTAAACACTTAAATCAGGGGTTTCATGAGGTTTTAGATTAACGAGCTATTACTAGAGGATATTGCCTTTGGTTGGTCTGCATTCTAATGTGATTGGATAATATGTAGGAATTGAAGCAAGAGGATTCTTGTTTGGTCCCTCAATTGCGTTGTGCATTGGTGCAAAGTTTGTTCCTTTACGTTCATATAGAAATTGCTTCTTAACCATAATAAGTTGAAACTTTAAAGTACCAAACTCTAGACAAAACAACAAAATTGATCCCATTCTGTGGAATGGGACAACCCTCATTGAGCGAAAATACCTTCTCCTATTAATGTGTTGTTACATAGCCTAAAGTCAATTGGCTCCAATTTCATGTTTCCTACTTGTTTCTGATATGCATTTAAAACATTCTTAAAAAAAAATCGAGGGCAGCCTCCACACTAAATATGCAGACATGAATTAAATTTTCTAGGTCCGCCACTGCATGTGACATGAAGTCATATGTGATGATCTCAATCGTCTATAGACAAATAAATGGTTATGAAAAATGGATTAAGATAGAAAATGAAGAAAAAAATAATTGTTGATTTGTTTGTAAACAATAAATATCGTCTCACATGATCTTGTGTCATCTAAGATGATCCACTCATATGACAGGAGGAATGAAGTAGCTGCACATGAATGATGGCGCCAAGGGAGATCAAGAAGTACAAGAAAAGCACAAAGCTCCTCATCAAGAAGCTTCCGTTACAGAGCAAGACTGTCGAACGAACAACTTGAATGGATTACCTCTGTTATGGTTGACAACAAGTGCACTTTCAAACTTAACAACAACATAAAATAATCATATGGAGTGACAAGACTAATTTGAAAATAGTTTTATGTATTATTCGATTTAAACATTTATTTTTTATTCAGATTAAGTTCAAAATAAATATTAAATTATACCGAAAGAGATTAATTTAACTTATAAGTAAAGAGAGTTTCTTACAATTTCACCAAAAAAGAGAGAGTTTCTTACAATGTTCTAAAAACTGGATCGACCCGGCCGGGTCGACTAGGAAATCGGTGAACCAATCATATAATCGGTCCGATTTTCATGTTGGATCGGTCATGTCATGGAATCGGTGCAACTCAGTGCGACCCGACCAGGTTTTGTAAAAATCGGTGACCCGACCCAATTCATAAAAAAAACTTGTTTGTTTTCATTAATTGACGCCTTTCTTTTTTTCACTCTCACATACAAATGGTTTATTTTATTTTGAAATATTTGAGTGATCTATTGCTTATTGACTTACGTAGATTATGTACCTACAAGGCTACAACACCAATATTATCTTGGTTATGCAATATACAAAGAATTTTGATTTGATTTATAATTAAAAATATCGTCTACTGAACCTGAAACGTCAATATCACAAGTATTATATGTTTGATTATTTTTTGTTGCACAATGATGTGTAATTTATTGTTTTTCATATTAAAATTTGGAAATGATATCATTTTTTTTACAGTTATTTGAGGATACTTATAGTTTTTAAATGGGTTTAAAGTTTTTACAATAAATGGAGATAAATTATCTACATCACTCCCAAAACGATGTTATTTTGGATTGAAAGATTAAAAAATTATAATGAGAAATACTATTATAACCCTAAAATAAATTATAATAACAAAAGTATCTTGCTTTCTGCCCCAAAATGATGTCGTTGTAGGCTTAATATAGATAACTTATCTACATTGACTGCATAAAAAATGAACCATTTTTTAATATAAATTATAGATTTACATATATTTACCGGGTTATGCAATTGAATCAGTGACCCAATATCTCGACTGGGTCAATAACCAGCGCAAATTTAATAACATTGGTTTCTTACTTTGTAACCAATTTATATATTTGGAGAGTGATATTTTGACTCAAGAGTAAGACTTACACTATAGTTTAAAAAGTCATACTAATTAATTAATTATTAATTACACTATAAAGAATAATCGTTGATATCTGTCCATCAACGATCGAGATAGGGAGTAAGACTTAAAAGTCTTATTCTCGAGTCAAAACAATCCCCTTATATATTTATTTATTGGGACAGGATATTCTTACGCCAGTGTAAGAGTTAGAAATATTACACTCAATCTTGACCATTGATCCACTTGTATCCAAAGGCTCACATAACTAAAAAATTTGAGCCCTTAGATATAAGTGGGATGAGCGGACAAGATTTAGAGTGTAACTCACCGATGTAAAATGATCCTGACCCTTATTTATTTTACTATATTTTATCATACGGAACCGGATTGGTCCTTAATTTATTGGGTCAATTCCAACTAATCCGACCCGAACAAAACCGGGTATTTTTTATTAGGGGAGCTGGATGTTGCTTCTGGGTATTTCGAAGACTGGAAGAAGCAGAGATGGAAGAGGCAGAGGAGAAGCAACGTCGTCGTTTGAAGCTTGAAGAAGCCCTTGAAATCCAATCCCTTAGACGCATCATTAGTGCTTACCTCAAGTATCATTCTTATTCCCTCTTCAATTTTTATGCCGTTTAATAATATTATTCAACTTCTCTTTTTCTCTTCAATTTTGTTACTGAGCATTCAACAATTTATGAAGGTTTTATTTTAGCCATTAAGTTTTGTTTTTTCAATCAAGTATACTAAGATTCAAAAGCAACAAGAAAATGATCAAAAAGTTAGTAATTTTTTTTTTTAAAAGGAAATGGAAGAGTTATTTCACTTCACGATTTTGTTTTTATTCGATTTTTTGATTTTACTTTCGTGTTTTAAGAGAAAAGATTAGTTCACCCATAGTCAGTTTTTTATTTTTTATTTTTTTAATTCGATATATTTTTTCTTTTTGCAGAAAATAAATATTAGTCGATTGAAAGGATTTCACGGCGGAACAATCTGCCCAAGTGTATTTGACACTGACCACATAAAAATTTAGGGTTTAGGGTTTTAATTTACGTAACAACGTTGGTTTTTTTACTTTCTGAATTTTACAACAGAGGGCACGATATATCATTCTACACTTTTATATATTTCGGGTTTCTTCATGGAAATAATGCCTTTATTTTGCACTTTTTCTTTTAACTTTGTTTTATTTGGGTTTTAAAGCATAAGTGAGCTAAGCCACCAAAATAAGTGGGTTGTAGGACACGTTTCAACCCAAAATTTTAAAACATTGAGTTTGTGGATCCTTTTATTTATATGTGTTGCTTAGCTCAGTATTACCCAATGCAGAACTTTATCACTCACTTGATTTTGAACACCTTTTTACTGGAAAATGACAAATGCACATCCAGTCATTAGTATGTCTAGCCTCTAAAAAACTACTGAATTCTTTAGCTGTATTCTTAAATTGTGATGACCATTATATTTTGTTCATTTATGATATTCTAGTCTGATAATACTTGTCCTTTTTTTTTTCTTTCTAACATAATAATTAAAATTCTGTATGTCCCTATCATCTCTTTTGTTGGAAGTAACACTCTACCCTTTTCTTTCACTGACTTCTCATGCAGTTATCCTGATGCTGCAGTAGAGGATGTTAGAAGATATGAGAGATCTTTTAGGAAGCTTCCACCTGCCCATAAGGTGATTTTCTCTTCTGCTTGAGATTCCTGTTGGCAAAACATTGATGCTCAACTGAACAGTTTCTTGTGGATTTATTGTATGCTGTTTCCTATTTTTCGCCCCTATAAGACTTTTTATGAAACTGTGGCACAAATCCAAGGCCTTATAGAATAATGATATTTATTGGTATTACACTGTTATTTCTGACCCATTGCATCTTTCTAAGCTTGAGGAAGACATGTACTCTTTGTCCAATTCAGACTATAAGGTTTAATCTTGTTGAACTTTTATCTGTCACTTTTGATATGGATGCAAAAGAGAAACAATATGTCAAGCACTTTATGGATCTTATCTTGGCTGGGTTGCCACTTGGTCTTCATTCTATCCATATTGGAATATGGCTGGTTGTTGACACCCTGTGGTAAAGAGATGGGTTTAAACCTGCTTTTATACCATATGCAAATGTGGAGAATATGCTTGGAATTGTGTGACTGATTATCAGTCTGCAATTGCATAAATTTATTCTATATACAGGATTTATTAACTCCTAATTTAGCTCCTAAATTAGAGCTCTAATTGACTGTAAGTGTCTGACCGACTAATAAATGTAGTTTCTAACAATTTTTTTTTTTTGTTGCCATCTTATAATTTCTTCTAGCAATTTCTGTTCATTCTTTTGTTCCCTTCTTTACTGCACCTTTTCTTGTGTTTGTAGGCTTTGTTATCCCACTATCCTCTAAAGTTTCAAAGATTACGCTGGTACATTTTAGTTTATCTTTTTCTTTGCTTTATAATCTCTCTTTCTCTCTCTATTCTTGTAAAGGATAAAAAAAAATGCTGAGATGTTCTGAAGTTGATGCTAATGGAACTTTATTTAAGGAACATGAGATGATTTGAACTTGTTGCTGCCTAAGCCTAACTGCTTTCATTGATTAATTTTTATCCCACATAGGAAAAGAACTTCGGGGGATTTAATAATATTTGCTTTTTAAAGGACAAGCTTATGCCAAAGCATGTTTTGAAATTTTAGAAAAATAAAGTTCATACATACACACCCCAATATAAGAAATGTGGATTATTATGTAAATGTCTAGTTCATTGTATTATGTAAATATAGTAATTAGGCAAATTATGTCTTTATATTTATTAAATTCATTATATAAATGTTGAGGCTGTCGTATAGTCGAAACAAACAGTTTTCAGCATAGGCATATCTTGTCTCTATCTCTCTCTTTCTTTCTCTGTCCCTAACCAGGCATGCCCAATCTACCAATTCTGTTTCTGTTCACTCTCCCCCTTCCACACCTTCATCTCCTTCCTCACCTCCATCTATTCCTTCTGTTGACTCCTCAAGGTCTCATCCTGTGCCACTTAACATCAATCCAATGCAAACAAGGTCTAAATCAGGTATCCATAAGTTTAGACTACTACCAATTCTTCTTTTGGCCCATCTAGAACCATATTCAGTTAAACAGGCCTTGGCTGACCCACAATGGTTGTTAGCTTTAAAAGATGAATGAGGCTTTAGTAAACAATTCCACATGGACTGTGGTGCCACTACCTCATCATCAGCAAGCCATTGGCTGCGAGTGGGTATTTTGGGTGAAAGAAAATCCTAATGGGTCTATCAACAAATACAAGACATGGCCAGTGGATATATGGTTTCACCAAAAGCCAGGTTTTGATTTTACAGAAACATTTTCTCCTATAGTGAATCAGTCACTGTTATGACAGTCCTTATTTTGGCACTCACTCACAAGTGGCCTGGACAACAACTTGATGTTAATAATGTATTTCTTAATGGGTTATTGGATGTGGAAGTCTGCATGCAGCAGCCCCCAGATTTTGAGGTGAATGACTAGTCTCTAGTCGGTGAACTTAACAAAACAAGTCCCTAGAGCTTGGTTTGATGGCCTTGCTAATACTCTAATCAGTTTCGATTTCAATTCTTGTAAGTCTGTTTCCTCTCTGTTTATACTCACTGGTTCTCATCTTGTATTCTATGTCCTAGTGTATGTGGATGACTTTAATGTCATTGGAAGCACCTTCCAACTTTTTTCACAGCTCATTACCAAGTTGAATTCAGTTTTTGGACTTAAAACAGCTTGGAAATCTAGATCCTTTCTTGGAAATAAAGATCAAGCATCTTCCCAGTGGTTTTCTGTTGCTGGCTCAGAGAAAATACATAAGGAATTTATTGGCTATAGCCCATATGGCTGATGCTAAAGGCATCTTCACTGCTATGGTTGGTGGCTGTAAACTGACCAAGTTTGGGGTCGATTATGTTCCTGATCCTTCTCTATGCTGATCTATTGTTGAGGCACTACAATATGCCACCATAGCTAATCCTGAAATTAGCTGTCGTGTCGACAAAGTCTGTCAATTCCTCTCTCAGCCACTTGAAGAGCTCTAGAAGGTTGTTAAACTAATAGTGATCTCAAAGGTACCTTACACCATTGTCTTTTGCTACAGGCAGCAAATCTTCACCAGCCACTGTTCCTTCAAGCCTAATGTGATACTGATTAGGCTTCACATCCTATGAGTAGCCATCAAGCTGTGGATCATGCATTTATCTTGGACCTAACTTTATATCTTGGTGGTCAAAGAAATAGTCACTAGTTGCTAGGTCCATTACTGAAGCAGAGTGCAGGAGTCTAGTAAATACAACAGCTTAAATCTTATGGATTCAGACTACGCACACAACTAAAGGTTACAGTTTCCACTCCTCGTATATACTGTGACAATCTCAATACAGTTTCCCTGTCACATAATCCAGTGCTTCATTCTAGAACAAAGCATATGGAATTGGACCTCTTTTTTGTCAGATAGAAGGCGATAATGAAAGTCTCAAGGTTCTCCACATCCCATCACAAGATTAGTATGTAGGGATTCTAAATAAACCTCTATCTACCAGCAGATTTGGTGAACTACGATACAAACTCATAGCTTATGATCAATTTTCATTGATCCATACACCGAGTTTGAGGAGGGGAGATTATGATAGTAGTTACTGTTCTATTGTTAAAGTAGTATTCTGATAGTGTGCCAGTGCAGCTAATGATAGCTGTCAGTCGTTAGAGAAGTAGTTCTTATGATATATTGTAGAATATTCTAGAGCATTAGAATTAGTTTTATTAGCTACTAGCCGTTAAACCCCTTGATTATTGTGTTCTATTTATTGCTCTTTATTTTAGAACTCTTGAGCTACCTGTTGTAATCTTGTATATAAGGAACCCTTTGGGTTTCAATCAATATATGAATGAATACTCAGATTTCACATTTCATTATATGTACTGGTCTCTGCAGAACACAAAATACCAGAGCAAGTCTCTTCCTCACACTTTCTTATGTTTTCTATCAATTTCTCTCTCAGTGCTTGAATACTAGCATATATTAATTACATTTGTTATACAAATATCAAGTACTTGGTGTGTAGTCAAAACATATGGCTTTCAGCATATTATTCTGTTCTCTCTCTTTGAACAGTATATATCATAATTATGATATTATAATCTTTGAATGATTTTTCCTTGGACTCTATGTAGTTGTGAAATATAGTTGTGAAAATATGGCATTTTTTCTTCTAGAAGAAGAGAATCAGAATACTGAGCTAAACAAAGATGTTCCAAGTTCTAACCTTTTAATGAGGGTTGATTGACCATTTTACCCCTCTTTTAAAATTAATTTACCATCTTGTCTATTTTTCTCAAACTATATACCAAATACCAATTTGTTCCTGTTTGACCAAAAATTATTCAAAGAACGAGAATAAATATAAAATAATTAATAATTTTTTTTAAGTTTAAAGAAAAAAATTGAAAAAACACCATAAAAAACAAGGTATAGAATGACAATAAATATATTGGAGAACCAAAATCCTCACCTTAAAATTTGATGTCGTAGATTTTTTTTTTTTTCTTTTCAAAACTCTGTAAAATGAGTTTAGAACATGACATAAAAGAACCTCAGTCCTTCCACACTAAACCTCTAAAAAATTCCAAAATCATACCGGAAACGATTGAAACCATAATCTAGCATAAAACTGCCCAAAATTGCAATACATTGAATTAAAATAAAACAATGTCCGAATATAAAGATGACATCATTTCTGCATTTGCATTCATAAATGATAAAGGAGTCAACTCAAAATAAAATACACAGGATTTGTGCGGAATTCTTAACAATATGGAATAGCAATAGCCTACTAAATACTAGAACAACACTTCAAAGTCTGAATTGATGTCCTGATCTAACAAGCATTTGAATTATTGCTGTCCGAATTTCTCATACATGACAAGATTTATGGGTAAGTCATTTACTCATTGAGTAAATGACTTATTTACTTGAGTAAGTGTGGTCAAACTGTTGTCAACTAGGAGCAGATTGATATATAGCTTGAGAAGAGGGGCAAATTGATATATAGTTTGAACAGAAGAGTAGAGTGATAATTTTTTATTAAAATGAAAGATGGTCAATCAGCCTTTAGTGAGGCATATTTTAGCCTTGGTAGATACGTTGTGTACGCTTTCTCAGAAGTGCTTATTTCTTTCAAATAGGCATTGCTTAATTAGGATTCTTTTACCATGATAATCTTTGATTTCCTCTGTTTTTCTTTATTTGTAAACATGCAAGGTGTCTTAAAAACAATTACAAGTTTAAATACCTTTTGAATAAAATGAGCTAAATTGGAACAAAAAAATGTACATTTTCAGAGGATAAATAGAATTTTAACAAGCACAATTTAAAGTCAAGGGAGAAAATTAGAGAAATTTTTTTATTTTTTGTGTGGTGTCTTACCCTTCTTATTCCTGTGTTCCTAGTGATTTTTTTTTTCATAACATGTTTATAGTGATTTTGTATGCCAGATAATGATTACGGACTTGCAATGATTGTGGATGGACGTCATAGCATGTTCTAGCAGTTAACAATTAATAGCCATATTTTATTTAGTGTTGGAGAGATGGAGTTTGATTTGATATTTAACTCAAAAGTCTCGAATTTCAGAATATTGTGGTTTGTTGTGGTTTCCAATGGTGCAGGTGTATCTCGATGAATTCTCATTTCATATTCGGCATGCTTCAGGTTAGAACCAACTATATACGGGGCTAATTCCTTTTATGTGTTATGGTCATATTTGATATTGGTATAATAAACTTTTGTAGGCATTCGAACCTCCACTTGATATGAGCCAGGACATAGATTTAAGTGAAGATCCACATCCTGAATATGCCCAAAAAAATCGTTTTGTCTCTCAAGGGATTAATGCTTGTTCATGTGAGTCGGCCCCAGTGAGAATAACATGTTTTGTATCTGATCAACACGGTTGTGTGGAAGGTAGCAATGATACATGCAGATCACCAGTACTGGTGCCTCCCAATGAGGTTTCTGAAGCATTCATGACTCAACATGGTTGTGTGGAAGGTAGCAATGATACATGCAGATCACCAGTACTGGTGCATCCCAATGAGGTTTCTGAAGCATTCATGACTCCATGATCCTTTTTTGAACTAGTAGATAAGAATTGCGATGTTTCCTTGGTTCTATCATTGTTTTTTTCATTTAGAAATTTGACTCTGTAGATAACAACAGGAGGTGGATATTGAGAGTCACCATCAGTCAAATACTGGAAGCCATCCTCCAAGCTTGATACATACTAAAGAGACTAGTGAATATGGTGGAAGTGCTATCGCTGTTTCCAATGGCAATGTAATTCCTTCTAATCTGTTTTAATATTGTAAATTTTTCAGTTTTTAGAATTGCTGTCTGAGTGGGTCGTATGTTGGGTCAGTTCCTCGTGGTAAATTGATTTTAATGATATGTCTTGTTGAAAAAAAATTCTTGATACATTTCAGAGTAATTGGATAAAGCTAAAACTTCACTTTACTGTTGGTGTTATCTTCCTGCACTTTGGCACCAAGGCACATTTATTTTTCAAATATAATTTTGGTTATCTGCGTTAAAGCATGTCGTTATATATTGGCACTTTTTCACTTTGGTGCTTCTATTCCCCCCCCCCCTCCCCTATGGGCCTATGGGCTGAAAGGTTAGTTAGTTGTTAGGAAAGTTTCTAGAATATTTTGAGTTAGGATAAAAGGAGTGTGTGTGTAGAGGGATAGGCATGTATTGAGTATTGGTTTAGTGGGGAATTTGGGGATCTCTAGGGAACTTTTGGAGCCTAGGTATGTTGGCTTTGATGGGTAGTTGAGGTGTTTTGGGTTTATTTTTTTGCATGTCTTGTAAGGAGCTTGTCTCCATTTATGTTTTCATCAATTTATAGTAAATAAAATAGGGTTCCGTCAATTTGGTATCAAAGCAGTACAATCTTGGGAGTGCTCTTTGATCCAGATCTATAAACAAAAACACACAATAAAACAAAAAAAAAAACATGGAGGAATCAGTGATTTAGAGCTTATGGAAGATTTGAAAAAAATTGTGAAGGTTTTCGATGAGGCAATAGAGAAGATGGAGAGACAAAGGCTTGAATACAAGAAGACGAAGTCCGAGAGTTTTAAAAAAATTGAAGAAAAACAAAGCAGAAGTAGTAAAGGAGAAAGAAGAAGTGGATGGAGATGAAGTTGCAGAAAGGAAAGAAAAAAAATGCAGAAGATAAAGAAGAAAAAGAAAGGGAAACAGAAGAAAACAATAAGCAGCACTATTCCAATGGCACTGTTGTGGCGGGAAAGATGGAGAAGGTTAGGTAGAAAACAAGGCGCAGAAGAAAACGAAGTTTGTTAAGGTGACGATGCAGAAGCGAAAAAAGATAAAGATGCAGAAGCGAAAGAGGAAGAAGATGCAGAAGAAATCGCACAAGAAGCAAAAGAATAAAAAAACAAAAGAAGATGAAGAAGAATTCTTCATAAAGACAAAACAAAAGCATGTGCCAAAGCGAGAGTTGCTAATGGCTGAGCAGGGAATGACGAAGACCCAACCAGATTCGTTCATGGTGGAAGCTGGAGTCACGATGCTGCTGAAACCAACAAATGAGGAAGATGATGAGGAAGAAACAGTTTTTCCTTTGTCACCCATGGAGGTTTCCGGCACCGTTCTCTGTCAGGTCACCTACGTCTCCGCTGGGACCCATACCCGTTCTTGTGGCTCGGTTCTGCAACAAGTCTGGGCGAGGCCTAGAGTGAGAATGGTGATGGATTCTGGTTTCTTTGGCGAGGGGCATTTGCGGTACTATCAGGAGACGAAAAAGGGATCTGATGTTATAACCACTAATAAAAAGTTGAAATTGCTGAAGAGCTTGTCAAATGGCTTGGCCTTGTTCCCTGAATTAGGGTTGCTGAAAAAAGTCATGGGCTAAGAAAAAACCAAGTCACATGGGAAATTGGACCAATTAAAAATGATACACATGTGTGTAACTTGGTCTATATGCTTTAAGCTGTGAGACCCAGGTGGAGGCTTCTCTCACACTCGATCCTCACCTCTTTCTTCACCTCGAGGACGTGGACGATTTTTGAGGGGGAGTATTGATGGGCTGAAAGGGATGAAAGGTTAGTTAGTTGTTAGGAAAGTTTGTAGAATATTTTGAGAGTTAGGATAAAAGGAGTGTATTTGTATAGATGGATAGGCATGTATTGAGTATTGGTTTAGTGGGGAGTTTGGGGATCTCTAGGGAACTCTTGGAGCCTAGGTATGTTGTCTTTGAGGGGGGGATTGAGGTCTTGTGGATTTTTTTTCTGCATTTAGTCTTGTAAGGAGCTTGTCTCCATTTATGTTTTCATCAATGAATAAAATTGGGTTCCATCACCCCCCCAACCTGGTTCTCTCTCTCTCTCATCTCCATCTTCTGATTCACCCAGAACTGCCTCGCCCATCGGAGCTTGCCTTGCTATGCTAGTCACATTTCCAGAAGGTCCTTAACTCTTTTCAATTGAGCTTTTAGGGGGCGTTTGGTCGAGGAGAAATTTTTTGAATACTAGGGAAATGTAATTGATAGGAAAATGGTTGGAAAGTGAGTTTGGTAGGAAAAAATTTTATCGGGCAAATTAGGTAAGATTTATAAAGTCTATGTTTGGTTTGAGGTAGAATATAGATAGAAAAATAAGTGACAATTACAAAAATGTCCCTGTTTTTAAAAATTTTGGGAAAATAAAAAAATTGTAAATTAGAGAGAAACGTGAAAAAGAAAAAGAAAAATGGATCCAGTGAGGGTAGGAATGGCGGAGTTCTTGCTAACTGATTGAAATTTCAGTAAGTAAAAGTACGAAGTTGAGCAATTCATTTTTTGAAGATATCAATATGTACATGCCATCTTTACAATTGGAGCATGGGCAGGTGCATCACATGGTGGAGTTCTTGCTAGCCTTGCAGCCTGTGGTGTGATGATGAACATTGTTTCCATAGCCTTTGATCTGATGCAGGATTTTAAGAGTGGCTACCTTACCTTGGCTTCACCACGTTCCATGTTTGTGAACCAAATATTTGGCACAATAATGAGCTGTGTGATTTCTCCTTCAACCCACACAAGGAAAATAAGCTTCTGCACTCAAACAAAGACAAGAGGGTATTTTGGTCTGCTTTATTTTGTCATTTTCCAATTTACCCAGCTATCCACAGAAAACCACCACCAACTTCAGATTCTAAACAGTGACAATGGCTGGCTTTCTACTACCAAATGGGGAATGCTATGCAAATAGCATAGATGGGGAACTTCAATGAATCTTTCTACCAAACAATGACTTTCTGGATTGCCAAGTTCATTTGGATGGGGAAATTTTCAGATCTCTTCAACCAAACACCACCTTACAGCACCCTTCGGGACTCTTGGATTTCCCTTTCTGCCTCTGATTCTCTTCTCCAGCACTTGAACCCTTTATCAAAGCCTCCATTCTTGATCAAACCTTGAATAGCTCCTGGGATCTTGGGAGTTCTGATGCCCATTAATAGAACTGGATCAGAATATAGAAAGAAGACAGAATGTTTATTAACAAAAACCTCAATCTCTGGGTTACTTGAAAAGAGAACTGAAATATTATTGCTTTCTCAAGAGAACATGTACAAAAAGGGGTAAAAAAAAGGCTAATAAAGGAAATAAATAATTGCAAATATTCTCAATATGTATAGCAGGATCTGTATCAATGGGATACAAGACCAAAGTTGAGGAATTGAAGATACAAAGATATTGAAGAATAACAAATGAACCAACCCTCCTATACCAGGTATTCGAGAGATCTAAACCGTCTCCTAAATTCCTTTCTCAATCAATAATTGTCCCATCTAACACCTCATCTTCCTTTTTATTTCTTATTACACATGTGACTCCTAATCGTCTACTAAACAGACTTTGGTCGTAGTCCCCATCTCTCCTTCTATTTACACAGGTCTGCTAACATAGACCTTGTCATTGGCAGTGTTTTATGGAATGTTTATTGTTGTTGTTGTTTGTTATCTAAGGAGATGGAGGATAAGAATGCTTTCTTTACATCTTGATTCACCCTTCTTGTATGGCAATTTCTGGGCAAAAATTAATTTATACTTTAGGCAAAAAATAATTTATTCACTTCAGTTTGATTATTATTATACTCCTAACAACCAAATGCTTTAGCAAAATTGTCAATATATGTATTAAGTTCAAACTTTGCATCAATTTTTAGAAGATTTGTAGTTTGTCTTTTTCTAATAGTATTTATCTTTTGTAGATACCAATGAATGTGTTTTTCATGCTTTTTTCAGTACTCTTTTTCCTTCTTTATTTCAGGTCACGGTCACCTCACCACGGCAACAATGGTTGGATCCATCTCTTCAGTTGAATGTTCCTTTAGTTGATGTAGATAAGGTATATTTATGTTCCCAGCATCCGTTCTTTTTAGTTGTTACTTGTTCCAATGCAGGATAGTGGAAGGGTTTGGATGCTAATGGGTACAGGTTTCCTTGGATGAATCAGTGGTACAAACTAGGGGCTGACCATAATTGTCAGTAGCAGTTAGCGGTTAGCGGTCGGTAGCGGCCGACCCCGAAAATGGTATAGCGGTCGGTAGTGGGTAGCGGTATTGCCGCTATGGTGAAGTATTAATTCCACATATATTATACTAACAGGCTAATAGTACACAAATATAAGTGCTCAATCATAAGAAGTCACACAAAATCAAACACATAATTCCACAATCAATGTCAAATACAAGGAACATAAAGGAAGGATCTAAAATTAAACACAAATGAACAATGAAATTGTCAAATAGTTCAATGCAAGAAGTGAACTAATGAAGAAAATCAACATCATGTCCAGATTATCCATCAAATTCCAACAAATCTTCTCCCTTACTTGAACTACTTGTAGAACAGTGTAGCAAGTAGTGGTATTGCCGCTACACTACGCCGCTACCTTCCGCTACCGGCCAGCGTCGTGGTTGTAGCGGCCAGCCGCCACTACGGTAACGGTTTAGTGCTGCTACCGGCCGCTACTGACAACCTAGGGGCTGACAGCACCTGTGAATATATATGGTTTGGGGTTTGATGGGTTTTGATCATATTCAAGGGAGAATGAACAAGAATTTTGATTGGACAAATCCTTGATTTTCCTGAAATGAATCCTGATCTTGGCAGTTGATAAAGTTATAGAAATAGGGCAGATGGTGAGAAAGAAAGGAAACATGGACTTGAGGCCTAGGCTTTGATTGCATCATAGTAGGAGAGTAGCTTGCAGCAATAATGCATAAATCTGATCTTCTATCAAGAGAAAGTATTGTTGCCTTTTAAATTGACCTCTTATTACTTTTTTTACAAGAATTAAGAATAGAATGCAAATCCTACGATGATCAAGACTCTCTGCTACCAGTAAAATAAACCCATTAGGAAAACTTGGACTTTAAAATAAAGCGCATTAACACCTAATTAACATAAATTGAAGCTCACTTACAATCTAAAACCAGAAACGACTAAAGATCTGTCTATTTATGGAGCAACAGTTGTAAATATATCTTTTGCATCTGCAGATCAAAGTATAGTATGATTATTGCCAATTTCCTTATGGATGTTTTGTAGTTTTTAATTTCCTTATTATCAGGTTCTGGTGAAGTGATGATCTTTTACGGTTTTGCTACTTATGTATATTTTATTACGGCTTTTGCCTCAGGTGCGATGCATAATAAGGAACATAGTTAGGGATTGGGCAGCAGAGGTACTGCATGTTTACTTCTTTCTTCTTCTTCTTCTTCTTCTTCTTCTTTTTACTTTTTTTTTTTTTTTTTAAATACTAATTATGGCTATTGTTAGAATAATATCTTAGGTATTTATGTTAGGATATCATGGATATATTGTAGAATTAGTTAGAAACCAAATTATGATTATGTATATTTCAGATTGAATCATTGCACGTAATATTAACATTGATATAGAGATGTGTGGATGGTTAATGTTAAAATATATTAAAAATATCTCAAAATATCTTCATTATATCTTAGAATAGTTCAGAATATCTTAAATGATCTCGTAGGAAGTTTCCTTATTTTTTTTATATTTTATGATTTATTTTCTTATTTAACTAGGTAGAGTCTAATATTAATATAAATATGGATTATTGCTTTCAAGATTATATCACATCATAACACATCAAATCAATACTGATTGCCTATTATTTAGTCTTTATTTTCTTTTTTCCTCCTTCAATACTTAAATCCCTATAATTTCAACATGGTATCAGAGTGGTACCATCCTCCTTGACATGTCCCATCGCTATTTTATTGTTGAGTTTTCTAAAATTTGAAACTCTATTGTAATGATGTCATTTTCTTCTCGTCTTTCTCAACAAGCCCATTGCTCAACGGAAAATATTTCCAAACCTACTATGCCCACTGCACAACGGTCCTTTTCTCCTCCCTACGCCTTAATACTGGCAAGCCAATCCTGCCGAGCCTCCACTAGATCCCATCATAAAAAAAAGTCTCATGTGCCTCAACGTGCACATTCTCTTTTCGACGTGTGTAAGGCATCACGACCTTCCCAACCTCTTACATCTCATCAGCCGTCCCACCCCTTGGAGCCTCAATTTTAATTTTAATTTTTTTGGTATCTAAGTTTTCTTGTGGTTTGAAGCTTTCAAATATTATTTTTTATGAACTTGGAGAAGTTTGTTGTGTGTAATTGTTTGCTAGAACATTTCCGTTGATAATCATTCCAACAAAGTCTCTTCTTCCTTAGCCATTCAATGTTTCAACCAACTTTTGAGGCTCATGATCATTCCAGCCATCTTGCTTAGGTGCCTTTCCAACAATGCTTTCCTCTCTGACAAATCCAGCATCCGCCTTTCTAGCCATGTTTTGTGTAGTCCAAATTATATTATTTGGTTATTTTTAATTTTTAATGCAGTTATTTGTAGCAAGCTTAAAGCTGATTGAACTTTAGCTTGAGGGGTGAGTGTTATAATATTTGAAAAATATCTCATAATATCTTGATTGTTTCTTAAAATAGTTTAATGTATCTTAATGATCTCTTAAGAATAACTTCCTTATTCTTTATATTTTATGATTTATTCTTATTTACTTAGGATTGAGAGTCTAATATTAGTACAAAATGGCATAGTAGTTAAAAGCGGCGCTACCCGCAACGTCTGCGGGTTGCGGTGGTCGACCGCGAGAAATAGCTCCGCACCGCACCGGAAAGGGATCGCGTCTTTAGCGGCAGTAATAGCGGAGGAAATCGCGTCTGTTTCGGCAAAATCGCGGCTAAAATGGAGCTTTCTCTCTCTTCTGCGTTTTTAAATGGAGGTCTCTCTCTCTCTCTTCTGCGTTACAAAGAAGACGGAGACGAGAAGAAACGCATGTGACTTGTCCAAATTGTTTTGAATCTGATATCTATTATAATATTATTTTCCAAGACTTTTACTTTATAAAATGGAGAGCTTTATCTCTCTTCTGAGTTCTGAGTCACATGTAGGAACTGAAAAGTTAATTTGTTTTTTATGAGTAGATATAGTCAAAAGCTGAACCTTTTTGACCGACATATTTTTTATCCTATCAGCTTCTCTACCTTTTTGACCACATATAGCTTCTCTACCTTTTTGACCACGTATTTTTGTATCCCATCATATATATATATATATATATATATATTTATATATTATCTACCTTTTTGACCGACATACTTTAGTATCCTATCATATATATATATATATTATATATATATATATATATCCTATCAGATATTACAACTACAATCATCTTTCCTCTAGCTTTTTGACTGATATTTTTCTTTTTGTATCCTATATATATATATATATATATATATATATCTTCTCAGATATTACAACTACAATCATATTTTTTTGTATCCAATATATATATACTCAGATATTACAACTAATCTTCTCAGATATTTCCGCTATTTCCGCAATCGCAACCCGCTATAACGTTTTTCAGGGTTGGCCGCAACGGGCCGCAATCCGCTTTTAACTAGGCAAATAGAGATTAATGCTTTATATCACATTATAACACATCAACTTAATACTAATTTCATATTTTTGGTCTTTATTTTTGTTGAGATATATAAAACCATTAATGTAGCCTTACCCAACAGCTTAAGCTTTTGGGTTGAATTGGTTCTTTACATGGTACTAGAGCTCTTTTGTTCTGGGGACCCTCGCTTCCGCTTAAAACCTTGTTTTCGCTTTAAAACCTAAGCCCACTGCTTAGGAGTCCTCTTTTCTTTGCCGTGCGTCCTTCCGGCAAGCCATCAAGGGCTGTAAGCCTATTCTGAGTTGCAAAGAACCAATTTAACCCAAAAGCTTAAGCTATTGGGAAATGTTACATTAATGGGTTTATATATCTCAACACGCCCCCTCACATGAGAGCCCATTGGGCTTGAAGGGTGGACAATGCACAGGTCCACCTATCTATGTGAAAGAAATTCCACTAGAAAGAAAGTGGGGGACGAGGCTCTGATACCATGTAAAGAACCAAAGCTATTGGGAAATGTTACATTATGGTTTTATAATATCTCAACATGAGTAATTCCCGAATGCGTCAGCACCTTCGACAGCCACCGGAACCACCGTCCGCCACTGTTTAGGCCGCCGGAGAAGTTTTCCGGCAAGTTTTCAGCCCAGACCACACGTGATCAAGACCGTCTCCTGCCGGTGACCAAGTCTGTGGAAGTCCGACCACCATCGCAGCCGTCACGCGCCGCCCTTCTCCTCTGCGCGTGGTGCTCACCAGCCACCTTCTGTAGGCGCGTGTGCATTGTTCTGGCATCTTTTTCCGGTCGGTCTTGGACAGAGAAGCTCGCCTCCTCCTCCTCTTTCCAGATCTGTGGTTGGTTCTCTGTGGGTCTGACTTTTTGTGCGCACCTCTTCTTGATCGGTGATCAGGTTCGTTCCTATTTACTCGGCTTATACCTTTGTGATTTAATATAATGGCAGCAACTTCTCCTGTTCATTCGGAGGTCAGTTGTCCCTCTCCTCCTGTCAAAAGTTCTCCCAATATCATTTCCACCAATGTTGGGCCCATTACCTCTTCAAAGTTGCAGGGTTCTGTTAATTACAAGAACTGGGCCACCTCTGTTCGAGTTTGGTTCTTTGGACAGGGACATGGGAACCATTTCACGACTAAATCTACTGATGTTCCTAAGGAGGAAAATTCTGATTGGGAAAAGATTGACAACCAGCTTCTGAGTATCCTTTGGCAGTCTATTGATCTAGTCGTCTTGGACATCTTCTATTCTTTTCAAACTTGCACTGAGGTGTGGGAGGAAGCAAAACACCTCTACACTAATGATGTTTAGCAGCTCTATTTCATCATGTCTCAGTTTATGGAACTGAGCAAAACATTTGACATTCAGATGGAGACATATGTTAGCCAAAGTCGATCTTTGATGCAGGCATATTTGGATGTGTTGCCTTACCCTACTGATGCTTCTGCATATTGGAAACAGGTGGAACGTCTCTTTATGGTTGCCACACTTTCTGGTCTCCCCGAAGAATATGATAATGTCCGGGATACTATCTTGACTAGTGGAGATCCTAATCTATCAATGACGTATCAACATCTTCTGAATCTTAATAAGAAATCTGCTCTTGCATCATTAGCTGTTGTTGATTCCACTGCTCTAGTTTCCCGTACTGACTTTCGCGGGAACATTGGAGGTGGACGTGGTCGTGGTAGAGGCCAGGGAGGACGTGGTCAGCGACCTCGTTGTCATTATTGTTAGCAACTTGGTCATTATGAGGAACGTTGCTACACAAAGTATCCTCATCTGCGACCTTCTCATGCTGCTAATATAGCTCAATCGGATACTGCTTCAAATGGTATAGTCTCTCCTCTGAAGACTATGCAGCACTCCAGACCCTTCTCAGAAAGGCCTCTGCTTCAGAAACTGGTAATCCCGTTGCTTGTGTTTCTCATTCTGCATCACTTGGTCCTTGGATATTTGACTCAGGTGCTACTGATCACCTCTGTGGTAATAAGGAACTCTTTTCATCCCTTACATATTCTGATAATTTACCCTCTTTTACTCTTGCTGATGGCACTAAGGCCCCTGTTCATGGGATTGGACAAACCTGTCCAACCTCCTCATTGACCTTGACATCTGTCTATTACATTCCTAACATCCCTTATAATTTAATATCTGTTAGTAAATTGATCAACTCTCTTAACTGTATTGTCACCTTCTCAAACCATTCTGTTTCTGTGCAGGACTCGGGTACGGGGAAGACGATTGGAGTGGTCCGTGAGTCACGGGGTCTGTTCTACTTAGTTGTGTCGAGTCTTTCCGTTGCTTGTTCTCTCACAGAATCTCCACAACTCATCCACAGTCGCCTCGGGCATCCTAGTCTTTCAAAATTACAGAAGATGGTTCCTCTTTTATCCGGTCTTCAGACTATTGTCAGTCATGTCAGCAAGGAAAGCACATACGCTCCTCCTTTGCTAATTGAGTCAATAAACGAGTTGATGCTCCTTTTTCAATTATTCATTCAGATATTTGGGGTCCTAGTCGTAGTGTGTCTGTTTTAGATTTTTGGTATTTTGTTACCTTTATTGATGATTTTTCACGTTGTACTTGGATTTATTTAATGAAAAACCGTTTTGAGTTATTTTCTATTTATCAAAAATTTTCTGCTGAAATTCATACTCCATTTGGTGCTTCTATTCTTGTTTTACGTAGTGATAATGCTAAGGAATATGTTTC